TAAAAAAACCCCACCCTCATCGGATCCCAATTCAAATCCTTTCCAAATAGGGGTGTGGGGGGGGGGGGGGCTTGGGGGTGTGGGAGGGATTTCAGATTTTAGGGTGGGAAAAGCCAGTGCCAGTGGTCAGAGACGTAGCTAAGGGTGGGGAAGAGGGTACAGGCATCCCCAAGAGTAAGAGGGGTGCCCAAATGGGCTTTGATGGTATTTAATGGATAAAAATAATGGTAATGGAATTCATAGTTTAGAAGGGGGCATAAAAATGAATCTTGTCCCCTGGTGCCAAACACGCTAGCTACGCCTCTGCCAGGGGCATAGAAAGGGGGTGGATGGGGTGTCACTTTTTCTTTCTATGAAGGTGAGGTATTTTCAGACAACTGCAGAGTTTGTATCGCAAAAGGGAGTGCGGATAAAAATATTGGGCCACCCATGGCAGCACTAATAATAGCTACGCCACTAGGAAGTGTAGGCTATCTATCAGCACCAAAATTGGTGATCATTTTCATCGGGAGTAGGGCAGAACTCGAGGACGCTGGTGAATATAAAAAAAAAATTAAAAAATAAAAAATTAACCAAGAGGTGCATTTTGAACTTTGGAATATAGGCCTCCATGAATTCAGTCTGTCTATTAGACTTTTAAGATCGGGGTAATTCATTTTCCAAGCATCTGGTGGAGGCATTATGAGGCCCACTTCCATACATTCATGCATAACTAAATTAATTCCAGTTGCGTCCCCTTTGAGGGAATGCTTTAGCTCTAGCTCAGTGGTCGGCAAATCGCGGCTCGCAAGCCGCATGCGGTTCGCAAGCCGAATGCGGCTCTTTAGCGACATGAGTGCGGCTTGGCTAGTCGCCCACAAATCGGTTTTGACTCCGAAAAACATAGTTCTTGACAGGTTCTTGAAAAGAAGTTTAGCTCTCAATTTTTTAAAAAATCGTCCTGCTGCTGATTTTTGGCTCTTTTGACTAATGAGTTTGCAGACAACTGCTCTAGCTTGTACTCGCCTCTTAAATCTTTAAATTCATAATACAAGAATGCATTTTAGCAAATACCTGAATTTGATATTGCAATGTTCTACACTTAAATGGAGAGCAGCGGAAGAGATCCGTCCGTCCATCCGTCCATCCACCCACCCACCCATCCATCCATCCATCCATCCATCCATCCATCCATCCATCCATCCATCCATCCATCCATCCATCCATCCATCCATCCATCCATCCATCCATCTATCTATCTATCTATCTATCTATCTATCTATCTATCTATCTATCTATCTATCTATCTATCTATCTATCTATCTATCTATCTATCTATCTATCTATCTATCTATCTATCTATCTATCTATCTATCTATCTCTCTACTTATATGTATATCTAACAAGTACTACCCGTGAACCTTCCATCCATAACGATCTATAGCTTTCAATCTCCATATGCGGACCCAAGGCTGATGAAAACCCGCCTCTTTCGACGTCATCAAATCATCGCAGCGTTCCCATTCCCAGTCTTAGTCGACCGATGAGGCATCCGCACATTGGATTCTGACTGTATTTTTAAAGGTAAAAAAAAGAAAAATCTTTTATTTAAAAAAAAAAAATTAAAACAACTCCGCATAATGGAAGGGGTGCAGGGAGATGCTCAATAAGTTTTTTTTTCAAACTATTGGAGGCGTTCAGTTCATGGAACATTAACATTATATTGCAAATAGTTTTCTCTTTTATTTTTGGTTCGAAAAACCCTGATTTCATATTAAAAATCTGAATACTGATTACGCTATATAAATTCAGATGATAAAACTTTTGATTATCCGGGGTTGCAATCGTATTTTGCGGCCTAAGGCAAGGTGAGCAATTTAGGCTAGCCTATGTCTATGCTTTAAATTTATCGTACATTTGAAAAGCCGAGATGTCCAAAAACTAGGTATACCACTACCTACTTTGACCTACTTTTTGAGAGGGGGCTGTGTAACATATAAATATAAAGTGTGATTTTTACAGAAAATTAACTTCAGGAAAAAAATGTGGATGTACATGTATAGAAATGCATATTGGTTGAGGTCTTAAGATCCCAGGGTAATTTAAGAGGCTATATAAATAAGTGTAACAATCGTGTTGCCAAGATTTGCGAACTATTACACTAACGTCGAAGGTGTGTCCATATGAATCTATTTTCATTGGTTCAATCACTTTCTGATCTGGAAGTTGATTGGCTGATAACTAGAGTGTGTAAAAATAGCGGTGTTAACACGCTGGACAACACTGTTTTAGGGGAAGGTTTCAAATACCTGAAATTGTGATTTAAGTGCGTATTTTTCTTATCATTAATTTAAGAAGTGATGTACACGTTTTTTACATATAAATATTTGGGCTATTTCAATCATACACTGTTCATTCAGAAGAATACCATATTAAATGTGTGTAAAATAAAAGTTGTTTGGTATACATTATACATGTTAAGTCCCTTGACATATTGACCTTCACCTACGTCTACGAGGCACCTGTACTTATATTATACTTAAATTATTTATCTAAATCTAATCATATATGATGTTGACAGATATTTACTTTTCATTAATAATTTATTATGATAAAATGCCCCGTATTCAAATCACTCGTTTGGATTAATCCCCACAATTTAATATTAATATTAGTAAATAATTAGTATACTACTTTTTCAAGTTTTGGCTTTAACTTTAATTTCATTAACTTTAGGTAAATAATAAATCAAATTTGTATCGAAAGTCTTACTCTTACGCATCCCTTCGAGTTCTGACAATGCAGTAACAAACTGAATCTGTCTGAAACTGAGACTCGGGGCATTCAGGGGGACTCGACTGCAACTTTGATGAAATTACTTATTTTCGTTCTTAAACTTGACTTAATCGTAACCTTTAAATTAAATTAAGTATATAAAATACTTTAACTTAAATAATTATTAATAATTAATTTAAAATCCCCACCCCCTCCTATCCGGCCTTTCGGCTTACAAGACAAGTTACATTTACATTATGATTATCATTAGTTAGATTAGATTATTTATAAAAATACTAATGACTAATAGAAATTGCAATTAATTAGTCTGAATAGGACTTAGAGTTAGACTCTAATGAAACAAAGCTATAAATTATAAATAATGATATAGTAATAAGTATTAGGGGGAGAGACTGCAATCATTGAATCAGGTTTCGTGGAAGGAAATAAGCGAAAAACAGCAAGAAACGAGTGTCTGCAAGAAGCCTTCTTCTCCCAACAAACAGTAAAAACAAAATAAAAAACATTACGTCACGTTGTTTTGTTGCCACGTTGTTTTGTTACGTCATTTTTTAAAGGTTTTCACAACAGTTGACAGGCTTAGCCTAAACAGTGCAAGGCCTAGGCATTATTTACGACTTATTTACATTTATTTTGAATAATTTATAATTATAATCAATTAAAATTTAATCTAGTCTAGTTGATATTAGTATTAGTTATTCTAAGTATAAAGAAATACATTTAGTCAAAGACAAAATAAAATATGAATTAGTACCTCCAACCCCCTTAGTGGCCTTAGCCTTCACTGTAGACACTGAAGTAGTAGTTGTTTATTTTAAATAGATCTATGACTATGGTGACTATGGCATATGGCCATCCATCATGCCTATGACTATGAATATGATATTATTATAATAATTATAGCCTACTTATTCTTAATTAATTATTAATTTGTCAAGGCTAATAAATTTGTATTAAAGTAAAATGTTAATTTAAGACATTCAATCAAGAAATTATTTTTTTTAAAGTCATCTGAGTCATCTCTTGTATGTGACAAAACAAGCTGCTTATCTTTTACTTAAAAGAATAATTTTATTGCTGCACTAGTATTGGCTTGTTTTTTAGGTGATTGTTTATAATTTATTGGGGCACATAGACTGAGTTAACTAAAAAACTACAATTAAGTAAGTATAGGCCTTGTAAGTTATGAAAATTGAAAATGCTAAAATAAGTGAAGAAATTTATATTTTTAAAAGAGAATGAAAAAAAAGTCTATTTAAAAATAAATTGTATTATTTTCACTTAGGCTTTTATTCTACCTGTGGCTTTAGTTAAGTTCTATAGAAAATTCTTAATAAATATAATCTGTAGCTATTGTTTAGTTGGTATAGAATATTATATAAATTCTTTGCAATTGCCAGTTGTGGTAAGACCCTCCCCTCCTATAGTATCTAGTAGTATAACACTTACGATCAATAATTAATTATCAATATGACAAATAGGGAATTCCCCCCCCCTTGTTTTTCCTCTTCTTTTATTTCACCAACATAACGTTAACTCAATTTAAATCATGGGTTTAACCAATGATTATTTTTAAAAATTATTTCACTGCACATATATCATAAATGATAATGCTTACATTATTAATTATAATATTTCTTTAATTTTCAGATAGGCAAGGAAGAATGAGTATTCGAATGTAACACATTGGAAAAATTTGATAAAGCTCCATTACAGTCTTGTAATTTCCAAAAGAACATTGAAAATAATTTTCTCTCTCTAACTGTAAGACAGTTTTTAAAATGGCCTGGTGTTTAGGAGCAAACATTGGTAGATCATTGGTGCAAAGGCTTAAGAGGGCCAGCCTTTGTGAAAGATATCATCCTGTACTAGCAGTTGCTCAGTTTCGACTGTCCAGTGATGAGTCACAGCATGTAATGGCTATACGTAGAGAGACTGTTAATGTATGGGAGAGACGAGCACCACTTTCACCTCAACAGATACGTAAATTGGTCAAATCAGGAATTAAGGTTATTGTACAGCCATCAGACAGAAGAGCATATAGCATGAAGGTAGGTATTTGATTGTTTCAGATTTGCTTTTTACCAACAATTAAATTTCCATTTTGAAGCATTTAAAAAAATTGTAAGCAGATATTGTTGTCTGACTTGTATTACACAAATATCTAACCAGTAATTGCACTCCGCTTTAAAAAAAAAATTGTCCAGGAATATGCTGACATGGGTGCTATTGTTCAAGAAGATATGTCAGAGGCTTCACTCATTATTGGTGTCAAGGTGGTTCCCATTGATTCTCTTATGAGAGAAAAAACATATGCATTTTTCTCTCATACCATCAAAGCTCAGCAGGATAACATGCCTTTGTTAGATGCCATTCTTGAAAAGGTTGGTCCAGCTTTGGTCCGAAAGAGATATAAGTAAGACTAAACATTATGCATACTTAGGGGCAGTTTGTCATAGATTCCCTTTTTTTTTTGGCCATGTTTACAATAAATTATATGATTTATATTTCCAAGACTATTTCAGACTACAAAACTGATATAACAACTTCTAAATCAAGGCCTTTTTCATATTAAATAATGACATGCAAACTTCTTCTGACTAGCATTTTGAATATCTTTTTATTTTTACTATTATTTTACCATTTTGTTATTAGAATATACATTTTAAGATTATTGTTATTGGGGTTTAAAAAATTAAGATCTAAGGCAAAAATGAATCTTATCTTAAATTGTTTAGTTTGATTACTCATGAAATTCTATAAAAATGTAAAGTGATTGTAAAATTAATTTTAATTTTACAGCATATCCGTTTGATTGATTATGAGAAGATGGTAGATGAGAAAGGAGCAAGAGTTGTGGCTTTTGGCAAGTATGCTGGCGTGTCTGGTATGATCAACATTCTTCATGGTATGGGCCTTCGGCTACTTGCTCTTGGCCATCACACTCCATTCATGGTAGGCAGTTCATTTAACAAAATGAATTTTTAAAAAATTAGTAGCTTTCTCTACAATAAATTGTTCAAGATATTCAGCCTTGTAAGTAATTTTTTTGGCTTTTTAACATTTGCATGAAATTGAATGTATTCAATATTTTTTCATGACTGTCTATTCAATGCAAAGACATTAATTGGAAGTAAATTGATATAGACAGTGCATTTTTTGTCGCAACTAAGGTGCGTACACTCGCATCTTGTTAATACTTTAGGGGTCATTCATTATGATCAGGGGTGGGTGAGTCCAGTTTTATGTAAAACTATTATGAGAGCGTTTAAATCAAATGATATAATTATGACAATGGGGGAGTAGGATCCAAAATTGGAATAAGTAGCATAACATCATTTATGCTACTTACTTTAAATATATATTTACAGTAGAACCTGGTTATGTCGACAGCCTTGGGGTTTGCCAAAAAGTGTTAAGATAACCGATGATTGAGATAACCGAAAACTACTTTGGTGGCAATATATTAACATGTGCTTGAAATTTCTTAATGTACGTGTGTTAATAAATGCAGGTACTTCAGTAAAAAAAAAAAAAAATTAATTTTTACAAATATTACAGTTATTTAGAGTAAATTTCAAATTTAAAAAATTAAACCAGAATCAACAAATTTTTAAATTGCGAGTTCGTTTGGTATTTTCTACTATGGACGAAGCCTCCACATTTTGTGATCTCATTCTGCTGATCGTGTCTTGCTCAGTGACTATATAGTTTATATAAGGCAAAACATCCCCTTATTACTAAAATACTATTTATGGACTACTTATTTTGAACATTCAACTTTGGCACATGAATATTTAATTAAAGCTTTCCCTGACCAATGGTTTAATAGCTTTTGCATACAGCAAACTCTTATGAGTGAAACTCAGACGTAGTACTACATCATAGCCATTATGCAAGTGACTGTGAATGGCTGCCCATGACAACATTTTGCACACAGCAAATTATGATCATTTATAATATGGACTCTACAGGTTTTTTAACCTCGAATTAAAAACATATCTATTTAAATTACTTCTAGGATCATTCTAAAACACAAGTCCTGTATTCTGAGCAATAAATAATTATTTTCAATTATGAAAAACTTGTTTATTTGTTGTTTGCTATTTTTTCTTGCGGAGTTCAAAAGCCGGAGATTGGTCATGGGGATCGAGATAATGGAGGTTAAGTGGCAAATTTGGCCGCCTTTTGTGCTTGAGATATCAGGGTTCGGTGACATAAAGAATTGACATAATGGAGGAAAAAATGCTAACACAAAGAGAGAATTTGGCAGTTCCACTTCATAAACATCGACATAACAGGGTGGGCGAGTTAACAGAGGTGGGGAGATAAGCGGGTTAGACTGTATTTTTCTTATCAGAGTTCATTAAAATTTGTATTTTGGCTTTACTTTTCAAGATTAGAATCAGAGATCAACAGGCATCATTATTTTTGTGTATTCTTTAGTTGTGTCTATTATTATTCTGGCTTTTTTATTAGCAGGACAGGTGTTTGAGAAGTAATTAGTAATTTTTTCCATTTCACCAACGATTTTTAAAATAAAGAAATTATTTACATTTTTCATGCAGTGGCGTAGCTAGGGTTAGTGCCGCCCGGCCCGGGCCAAGCCAAACTTTTTGCCGCCTCCCCTCCCTCCAACAAGAAGCCGCATGCACCGTTTTAATGATTTTCCCTGACCTGCTATGCTGGACAGGGTGATTCAAGGGCTTGTGGACCAATTATAGAATTGTCAAAAGTTACTTGAAAAATCCGTCCAAAAAAAGATCCCAGCACACCATTTAAGTGCATTCTACAACCAGAAAGCCCTGGATATAAATATGTTAATATAAACACATACAGGTCTAAAAGTAAGCGTTGATATGGACAGAAGCGATAATGTACACTGATGAGGTCATTTGTTGGGATATATAGACTCTAAAAAAATTTATATCCGGAATGCCGATTTTTAATAAAGTTTTAAGGAATCTTCTGCTATTGATAATTATAGAAACATTTTTTATTAAGGTTTTTATTGAACAGTGGTTTTCATTTTATGATGCTCGAACATTTAGTAAGTTAGCACTTAATATTGTAGTCATTGGTTTGTGTGTGAACATTTTAATGTGTTACAAATAAATAAACTATTTGTGAGTGCTCATATCTTAAACAATAATATGATAGTGTCTGGATGTTATTCTGTCCTTAATTATTGGAAACAATTGCAATATTTGATTGTTATGTACTATTGACTGTATTCAAGGATCTTATCGGTACATCTTTATTTAAAATGTACTAATGGAAATGATTTGTTCCATGGTTTGATTACAGCATATTGGTCCAAGTCATAACTATAGAAATACTGAAATGGCCAGGCAGGCTGTCCGTGATGCTGGATATGAGATAGCTTTGGGTCGCATGCCAAAGTCTATTGGTCCCTTGACATTTGTGTTTACAGGATCAGGAAATGTTTCTCAGGTGAGTTCATATCAGTAATTAATTGCACAGGTCAATAACTCTAGAAGTAAGATCTCATGTGAGTGCATGTCAGTAGTTACCATTGTAAAGGCTCAGGTGAGTGCATATCAGAGCTACAGTTGTAAGGGCTCAGGTGAGTGCATGTCAGAGCTACAGCTGTAAGGGCTCAGGTTAGTGTGACATACAGCTGTAAGGGCTCAGGTGAGTGTATGTGAGAGATACAGTTGTAAGGGCTCAGGTGAGTGCATGTCAGAGCTACAGCTGTTAGGGCTCAGGTGAGTGCATGTCAGAGCTACAATTGTAAGGGCTCCGGTGAGTGCATGTCAGAGCTACAGTTGTAAGGGCTCAGGTGAGTGCATGTCAGAGCTACAGCTGTAAGGGCTCAAGTGAGTGCATGTCAGAGCTACAGTTGTAAGGGCTCAGGTGAGTGCATGTCAGAGCTACAGTTGTTAGGGCTCAGGTGAGTGCATGTCAGAGCTACAGCTGTAAGGGCTCAAGTGAGTGCATGTCAGAGCTACAGTTGTAAGGGCTCAGGTGAGTGCATGTCAGAGCTACAGCTGTAAGGGCTCAAGTGAGTGCATGTCAGAGCTACAGTTGTAAGGGCTCAGGTGAGTGCAGTATATTATGCAATTATTTAACTCTTGTCTCAGGTTCATTTTTATTGCAATTTGCTTCACTTATAATTATTTATCTTATAGGGAGCTCAAGAAGTCTTTCAAGAATTACCTCATGAGTATATTGAACCAGAGCATCTACCTAAAGTTGCCATGCAGGGCTGTAAGTATACCTTCATAATAATGTCTATCAGAGGATTTACCAAGAGTTGCCATAGAAGGCTGTAATATACCTTCATAAAACTTCTTTCAAAGCATTTACGTAAGTTGACATGGAGGGCTGTAAGTTTACGTTCATAATAGGTTCTATATTTAAAGCTTACCACTACTACTGATGTTTATGAAAATATTGGCAGATAAAGCAGCCCCAAGAATAAATCAATAGTTGCCAAGCTGTTAATGATAAATTTAAACATGATAATAAAAGCCAATTTAACTAGGAAGTAAATATGGTTGGAGCCTTTTGTGTTACAATCAATATTAGCTCTTACCTCTGAAAGTATATTTAGATGGTATGGCTAATAATATATTTTCAAAATATGTGATTGAAAGAACTATTTATTAGTTTACCAATAATTACCATTAAAAAGCTTGAACTCTTACCCCTTTTATAACACAATAATAAATTGCTCATTAGATCAAGTTTATTTCATAAATATAAAAGCCATTTGGTTCCATTAATTGGTCTGTATTTCTATAAATAAATATTGCTGTAAGTCATACATAAACCAATTGGCCAGCAGCCAGTGACAAATAATAGCCTTCTGTCATTTATGACGGCGGCGTCTTGTTTTTAGCTTAAAAAAGCTAGCCCTTCAGTGACAAATAATAGCCTTCTGTCATTTATGACGGCGGCGTCTTGTTTTTAGCTTAAAAAGCTAGCCCTTCACTTCATCATTATATTTAAGATTAGTTAATCAAATCAATAACACAAGTTTTCTAACATAGAAACAAATTAATATTTCAGAACATTTTGAAAAAGAAATCTTCATTCGCTCCCTGAGGGCATGCTTATGTTTGAGACAATTGTGTAACTTGTTTATTAATTCGGTATTTCAGCCACATCAAAGCTGTATGCTTGTGTTGTTAGCAGGGATGACCACTATAAACGTAAAGATGGTGGCAAGTTTAACCCTGAAGAGTTTGAGAAGCACCCATACAGATATGCTTCCAGCTTCAGCCATGAAGTATGTGCTCCTTTTGATAATAATATATATTTAGTGGTTTGTTGTTTGTTATGAAAATGATTGAATCATTTATATACAATGTTGTAGAAGCTATTTTTGAGATTTTCACTGTTTAGAGATGACCAATAACCTTAACCCTTCCTTGTTAAACTTATATTTTATTACTTACAAATAAAAATATGCAACCAGAACCAATCTATTTTTTCAACAATCAAACAAATGAATAGAAACTCACACTTGCTCCCTAACAACTTAAGATTACCATCTCTCATGTTTACCCTACACCATTCTGCCCATAAAATTTTGAGATTTTACCAATTAACTGAAAATATTGAAGGAGAAAAGATAATGTACATCTAAAGAATAACTATAAAATCAACTTTGTTCCCTCATTTGCATTGAGGATGGTTGACCAATGCCAGCTGTTTTATTTTTTTTATGGCAATCTAGTAGGGTTATTAATGATTAGGGGTGTGCCGGAATCCGGTCCGGAATCCGGTTCCGCCGGATTTTGCACTATCCGGTGAAATCCGGTTCCGCCGGATTTACATGTATCCGGAACAACCGGAATCCGGAATATACCGGATTTTGGAATTTGCCAGATTTTGTGACTCACCGGATCATAATCTGAAATAAAAGTAATTCTCTTTCCCGAATTCCACACGATCACGATACATTAATCGATTGTTTCGAGCGTTGAGCTTGTTTAATGTTTAATATTAGGAACATACCAGAGGCTAGAGTCAGCACCGCTAATAGTGGCCAATCGGCCCAATCCCATACATGATAGTGCGGGGATGAGTAATTATTATTCGTGACGTCATCTTAACCGCAATCACGTTGTATCAGAAATAATAAGCAACTATACTGCCCAAGCGCCTGGCCGCCACCTTACCGAGCACGGCAGACGACCATCAAATTGCGTCAAGCCAGCAGGCCTGTGCTGACCTAGCCTATCTATGAATACTTTTAGGGACACACACTGATCGACCTGACGTCAGTCTGCTTAGCAATAATTTCTATTTTCTAATTTATTTCAAAGTTCTTCACTTCCAACTTCCAATCAGCCAATGTCATTTAGCCATTTAGGCCAACTGTTCAGAAGGCATCCAACCCCTCAGATTTACCAGTATCTGCAAAGTACCAAAATCCGGAATCCGGGAGAAACTGGAATCCGGATTATTCCGGAATCCGGATCCGGCGGATTTCGCATAAGAAAATCCGGATCCGGTTGGAAAAAACGGATCCGGCACACCCCTATTAATGATCGCTCTCTTTTATAAGTATTGTTAAAATCTCTAACAAAATGTCCTTATAAATTTAGATTGCTCCTTATGCATCTTGCATCATCAATGGAATTTATTGGGCTCCAGGGGCTCCCCGTCTCATCACCATTCCAGAAGCCAAAACTCTACTTCGACCCACTGTTGCCCCCTGGCTTCCATCATCACCTGGCTGCCCCACCCTCCCTCATCGATTGCTGGCCATCTGTGATATATCTGCTGACCCTGGGGGCTCCATTGAGTTCATGAGAGAATGCACCACTATCGACAGACCATTTTCTCTTTATGATGCTGAGCAGAATGTGGACACCGAAAGGTTAGATAAGTGTGATAGTCATGGTAGCTAAATGTTAAGGGCAAGTGAAAGGGAATTTTTAAAATTAATTTTGTTGTCCTGAATGACATTCATGAAGATTTACACAAAATACTAAATGTGAGTTCTTACATAAAATATGAAGGTGAAGGTCTCAATTTCTAACACAAGGAACATTTTTGCAGTTTAAAATTAAAGAAATGGGATACAAACCAGATAGTTTTTTGTTATAATTATCCACAAAATAATCAAGGTTGATCTTGCGAAGCTAGACTATAAAAAAAGAATCTTATTGTTATGTTTAAACAGAAGTTACCTAACTGAATTTCAACAGCCTACAAAGTAAGCTATAAACTTTGCTATACTGCTACAAATTTTATAATTTATTTTTTATATTGTAGGGCATTAAAATATTTATGTAACAGAAAATTTAAAAAAAATTTTTTATATGTCTTCTTGCTCAGCCTCATCAGTATATTATTGCTTCCTCTGTCAAAGCAAAAGTTTTAACTTTTACTTTAAAAAAAAATTCTTTGAAATCTTTGGCAATCAATAAAGGGACTTGATAAGATATCACCCAACCTCATCTTAGATTTAAATTCATTAAAAGTATTTAATAAATGTTTTATTTAGATTTTTTCTAGTGCACACACCGCCCCCCACTATTTTAGAGCCATTGTGGTAACTAAGCACTTTTTATAAATAGAACTTTTCTTTGTTTGAAACCTTAAACAACACTTTGTGAGGTACTGTAAATTTCTCCTATAGTCGTGATTTTTAAGTTTTCAATTTCCTTTATTTTTATAGAAAATGTTCCAGGTAAGTGCCCACAAGACAGAGTTTTTTTGTTTTTTTTTAATTGAACCTAATTTTATAGACGTGACCATTGGAAAGTGATGAAGAAGATAAAGATTTTGAGTGTAGATAGTGTGAAGAAATAAATATATATTTAAGTGTAAATAAACTTTATTTAGTATGTACAAGTAAGTTTTTTTTCTACCAATAACAGTTCTTCAACAATTAATTATTTGAGGATTTTTGTGAATAAAAATATTAGATGAGAAATATGTAGATTTAGTTTGTAATTAAATAATTTAATTACAGTTTAATAAGAAATATTTTTTATTATTAAAAGTTTATATCACCTCTGTAAACAAAAATGTTAGCCTCAGATGAGGGAATTTTAGAACATGTTAAGTGATTAAAGGTAGTAATTTTTAATTGGGATTAAAAAATAAAATAAATTAAGGGTGATCAGAGCCATGAAATGTCTATTATTGAATTAAATATGTAGCAATGAAACTTTTGACTTTTTCCCTATAAAAATATGTATTAAATGTATTAAAATTTTAAAAAAAGCTAAGTAAAGTTTTACAATTATTTTAAGTTATTTTGTGATTTTTTAATTTGTTAAATCTTGTTTTTGTATATAAAAACTTTTTTTAAAGACAGAAAAATACTATTAAATAAAGTATCAGTTTTATATTTCATCATTTGAAGTATTTTTTGATATTGTTTATCTTATTTATTGCTATATTGTGGTAAAAAAAAAAATTCATTGTAATTCTAACAACTGAAATTTAAAGTCATACCTATTTTACAATCTTAATTGTTAATTTTGTGTTTTTAATCCTAGAAAATTTAAAATTATAAAACAGCTAAAAACAGCTAAAACATCTGCAGTAAATAAATATTGATATAACAGCATGTTCTATTGTCAATTATGATAAAATAGTTTAATAATACAGTTAATATAATTTTGGAAATCAAGAAATTTCAACTTGAAATTATTTGTGATCTAAGTGTGGTTAAATAAATGACATTATCTTCAAAGTGTTATGGTGAGTTATATTTGGTGTTTAAGGCATTGTACCTTACTTAACATGTAAGTGTAACACCACAAATTTGACAGTAAAAACAAAACAAGAGTTATGTTTTATTTATTTTTTTTAATAAAAAAGTTTTCATTCGAAGAAAACACTTTTTTGTGTTTGGAGACCCGAAACTATTCAGTGTCATTGCATTACTTCTAATATTATCTAAATTTGTCTTAGAAAGAACTCTTGTGTGTAATATTTAATCAACAATGAGGTCCCTCTGTTTCTTATCATAAAATCTGGTGAAATTTCTCATCCTAACATCATCACTTTTAGTTTGACTGCATGATCTAAAACATTGTACTAACATAGGAGAAAAATGGTTTGTATATATTTCATTTTAGCTTTGCTGGTGATGGTGTCCTCATTTGTTCCATTGACAACATGCCAGCTCAGATACCAAGGGAGGCCACAGAATACTTTGGTAGTTTGTTGCTACCTTATATTGAAGAGATGGTAATAATTTATTTTATGAAACAAAATTTTTTTATTAGTGAATTTCATTCAAAGATTAAAAAAAAAATTCTTATTGTACATTTTGTAATACAATTTTTTTTTTCATTTTTAATTTCAGTTAAAATCAGATGCAAAGACACATTTTGAAGATTTAAACTGCAGTCCAGTAGTGAGAAATGTAAGAAGTTTTAACTCTTGACATGTACAAAAACCAGTCTCTTTCCTTTTATCCTTTTCTCAAGAACTATCAGAAAATAACTTATGACTCATAAATGTCATCAGAATCTGCTACAAATCTTTTATTATTAGAATGAACTTTCAATATGGTACCAGTTACCTGAATTCTCCAAAATATTTACAGGCAGTGATCACAAGCAATGGAGAGTTGACTCCAAACTTTAAATACATTCAACAGTTGAGAGCACAACGGGCGTAAGTGGTCTTTTTGTACAGATTTCATTCTCTCTTACTTTATTGGTCACAGCATCTATTTTACATGAATAATGAAAAATTTAAGGTAAGGGAAGACCATAGGCAAGAATGATGGCAGGACTGGGCAGAGGGAGGTGGGGTGGCTTGGAAAGAAAGTAGATGATTATGTACAAGTTTTACTTATTAAATGTAACATTTACTCATTGATGTAACATTTACTCATTGAAGTTTAAAAAAAAAAGTATTTGTTTACTATGCTGATGCCTGCATATAATTAAATGGATAAGTGACAGTAATTGTGACTGTAATCCTTAACATAATGTTATTATAATTTATAGTAATTCTTTTTGTAGAAATTATGTATTTTATCATCACTGCTGTTACTTTTAGTAATTTATATATTTTCATTTAAAACTTGAAAAATGTTGAATGACAAATTACAGCATTAAACTGAACTTTGGATGATATGTCAGGTCTGCTCACAAAGCAAAGCTGAGTGTTGCTAAAGAGAGAATTTTAGTCCTTGGTGCTGGGTATGTGTCAGGACCTGCTGTGCAGTACCTCACACGAGATGAAAAAACCTGCGTCACAGTTGGTCAGTTTATCTATACTATTATACTATTATAATTAACCTTTTTTCCCCGAAATCCACTAAACTATCTTTAAATGAAAGACAGTAAAAACTGAAACTTCGGGACGAGATGTGGTTTCAGTCCTGCTGATGTGTAGTTATTTGCTAAATTTGACCTGGATTAGAACCTAACTTTAAACACTATTTTAGTTTATGATTGTGTTATAAATTAGTGTTTGGCTTGAACATATTCTAATACCAGACAGATTTATACTTGAAAGATGTATAATGGAAAGATTGAAACTTAGCTTAGATTTCTATATTTGATTTTTTTTTTAATCATGTCAGCCTCCCAGTATCAGCAAGAACTTGACAACACCACTCGTCTATGTCCTGGTGTTGACACAGTGCTCATGGATCTTAACACAGGATATGCAGAGCTAGAGAGACACCTGGGCGATCATGATTTGGTCATTAGGTCAGTTTGAAAAAACTCAGTTGTCTGTTACAATTAGCCCAGTGAGTTATAGTGCAAAGCTAGAAATATTAATGATTATTCCACTCCATTATTATTTTCTATGAAATAAACAATTTTCTTCACTTTATTTCAGCCTGCTGCCTTATTCCTTCCATCCTGACATTGCCAGGTTGTGCATTAAACATAAGAAAAATATGGTCACCGCCAGCTACATCAGTCCAGCCATGAGAGAATTAAATAAAGCGTAAGTTACTTTTATAAATAGAAATGGTAAAATTCAATGAAAACATATTTCTTACTTACAAAACAGCTACCGGCATTTCAATGTTTGTAAATTATAAACTAAGCAATTTAAAGTGTGTTGCAGTTTTTTACAATAAACATATTTTTTACAGAGCCCAAGAAGCTGGTATCACAATTATGAATGAGGTTGGTGTTGATCCAGGTATTGATCACATGCTGGCCATGCAGTGTTTTGATGAGGTCAGGAGGGCCGGTGGAAAGGTAAACTATATTCTTATTGTTTATTTTTGTGAGAATTTTAAATAAGATATAAAAAGCCTCTAGAATGGAAACAATAGTTTCCACAAACTAAGCTTCAGAATGTTCAACCAAAGTCAAATCTAAATAAATAAAGTCGAATTAAGAAAAATCCAAAGAGAACAAAGGTAAGCACTAAGACGTTTAACCATAGATTTCATGCTGTACAATGGGCATACCTAAGATGAACAAGGAATTAGATTATAACTGAAAGTTAAAATTAACAATCTGTTATATAGACTCAAGTATTTAATCCATTTCACATCACTTGATAAAATAAGCCATATTATAGTTAAACTTTAAAGTGTCTGTTGCATTGTATAGATTCAAGTATTTAATCTTGATCAGATGACATGATAATGATAAAGTAAACCATCTGTATAGATTCAAGTATTTAATTTTGTTCAGATCACATCCTATGTTTCCTACTGTGGTGGGATTCCAGCACCAGAACATTCAGCAACTCCACTTCTTTATAAATTCAGGTGAACCCAGTTAATAAAGAGTTTTTTTTGAAATCATTTATATAGTTCACAGATGTTTGATATAGTCCTTTGTTATTATAATTGTAAAATATAGTTAGTTTTGATATTGATATTAAAGTAATCAAATCTGGCTGGTAACCTAAATGACCAAATTTGATTGTGAGGAATGTGATTAACCTTGCATATTTCTACCAACAGCTGGTATCCTAAAGGCGTGCTCATGAATGTGATGTCCACAGCAAAATATTTAAAGGATGGCAAGGTGAGACTAGACAGGAAAAATAACCACATTATTTAACCAGCTCCTAATAAACAATGATGCAGATGCTTTGTACACAGACTGTTTTAATGCTGTAAAGCAATTAGTTTCAATGATTTTCAAAATTCATTGATTGTTTTTATTATGTACAACAATTAGTTTCAATGAATGTAACTTCAGTGATTATTATATTATGTAAAACAATTAGTTTCAATGAATGTAAAACTTCAGTGATTATTATATTATGTAAAACAATTAGTTTCAATGAATGTAACTTCAGTGATTATTATATTATGTAAACAATTAGTTTCAATGAATGTAACTTCAGTGATTATTATATTATGTAAAACAATTAGTTTCAATGAATGTAACTTCAGTGATTATTATATTATGTAAAACAATTAGTTTCAATGAATTTCAGTTTTTATTATCAGGAATGACTTGAAAGTAAAAGTATAAGCTTTGTGTTTTTAATTTTTAAAAAAAAATGGAGAAATTCTGAAGAAAAACCAAAAAGGTAACATTTATGTAACCAAGAAAGGCTGAAATTTACCATGCCAATATCCCCATTCAGGTGGTTAAGAGGTGGAAGGTTAAGATATTTTTCTAAATTGAGTGTGTTTTAGCATGTATATGGATGATTCCTAAGAGGCTTATTTTTGCTATTCTCATCAGGTGGTTGAGGTGCCTGGACAGGGAGGCTTGTTGGATGCTGTTGAAGATCTCACCTTCATGCCTGGGTTTAACTTGGAAGGGTTTCCTAACAGAGACTCAACAATTTACTCATCAGAATATGGCATTGGGTCAGCTCACACTATCCTCAGGGGCACCATTAGATACAAGGTTACTGTATTGTCTTATACTGCCACTAGTTTTAGAGTATACATCCTCTGAGGCACTATTAGATACAATATTATATTCATTTGTTTATATTGGCGGTATAGTATAATTTTGTCACTTCAGTTAGAAAATGCAATGAGTATAAAACTAGTGAGAGCTGCTTACATGACCTGGCGCCGTCCTATCTGAAAGAGCTGCTGACGCCTTATGTACCCAGTAGAGAGCTCCGCTCATCCGATAGTGGCAAACTTTCGACACCACGTGTTTGCCTTGAGACTTACGGAAAGCACACTTTTGCATTTGCTGGTCCAACAATATGGAACGCCCTTCCTGTCGATCTTAGAAACAACCAGACACTGGAGTCCTTTAAAACCGATCTAAAGACACATCTATTTCGCAAATACCTTCTGGCATGATTGTCTACCTTATTTTCCAGTTAATGCATAATGGCTGTGTTGCTCCGGGTTGAAATGGCTAGAAAGACTTTGAGATTGTATGCTTGTAATTAGTTTTTGTAGTGTTGCGTTTGTTTTAAATGTGGTAAATTATAGATATTTTTTTTGTTGACTTTGTACCGCGCTTCGAGCCTTTGGGGATGAAGCGTGTTTTTGAAATGAACTTTATTATTATTATTATTATTATTATTACATGCTTACTTTGTAAGCAGCTGAAAGTTTCCATTTGTACTTTGATGTTTCAATCTACTATTAATTATCTGAAAATTATACCATATAATGTTATTGCAATTTAAGTAGATGTTTTAGTGAAAATCCTAACAAAATTTAATTTCTCAAGCATTAAATCAATTTTTTGTGTTTTGTATTAAGGGTTTCACCGAAGCTGTTAAAAGCCTGATTGCAATGGGGCTTTTCAGCACAGAACCTGATGCTCACCTGCACCCCAACGGGCCAGAAATATCTTGGGTATGTTTACAATATTTAGAATCACAGTGCGGAGAGGGTGGGGAGAGTCAGTTAAAAACTGTATGAAAATTCCTGGTATCAATGAATATGTTTAACTCAACAGATATTTATGTAATTTTACTCACATATTCTTCACTTTAATAAACTTTGCTCTGATGTCAGTTTTAAAAGTTCAATTAGTTGTTTCATAAAGGTATTTAAATTTTGCAGAAAGAATACATGTGCAGCAAATTTGACAAATCTGGTGATATACTGACCGACTCATTGAAGGACCTCATATATGATAAGCTGGGACAGGATGCCAAAAAATGGGACGTCATAATCAAGTAGGTCAATAATCAAAAATATGTTTAAAATCTATTTCATAATACTATAACTAACAATATGGAAAATAAAGGTCCATTATAACTATATTGTATAAAAGATAGGTGCATTATTTGAACAGTTTAACTTTTATCTAAACTTTTAATTAAAGTAAAGTTAATTGAAAAAGAAATCAAATGTATACTCATTAAAGATCAGTTTTTTTACAAGCATATCTTACAAAATGTATTCCTCAAATTATTACAACATCAATACAATAGACTTTTTTTAGAAAAAAGAAATATCTATGTATAGAAGTAGAAGTTTATGTTTCTTACATCATGTAGTTTTGAGAAATTTTTCTCTTCTTTGTTATGAAGGCCTAACCAACCTTTTTTCATGCCCCTGAGCTACAAAAAAACATTTTCTAATAATTGTAAGAACATAAATTTCTTTAAATTAAAAAAAAATCATGTACATTTTAATTAACTGTTACATTTTATAATTTTTATAAATTGGTATTTTCATTAAAAATTTAACCAACCTTTTGAGTCACTCTTGAACTATATTATCTGAAAGTTTTATGGAAAAACACAATTTTTAAATCTAAAGAAGGATTTCTTAACCAATTTTGACATCTCTAACAGCCTTTTGTTTTTAGAAATATTAAATGGAAAGACATATTTCTCTAATTTTTAAGAAAATCTTAATCAATCATTGTTCCAACCTCTGGGCTGTATTTTCGGAAAATAAAAAATTATGTCTCTACTTTTTAAGTTTAAATTTTCACATGTGTAAAATGATTGGGTTTTGAGATATTTTTATCCATATAAAAATGTTTCTCACTCTCTTTCTTTCGTATTTAAAATGTATTTTAACTAAATGTTTACGTTATTTAATATAAACATATTGTTATCCTCATAATTATGTGCCCACCCTTATCCCCACCCCTGAACTGTATCTTTGGAAAAATGGGAACATCTTGATGTCCATGGTTGCGAAGTAAATATTATCCACTATTTTCCTCTTTCCAACTTCATTGAGTTTTGAGGTATAGTTATCCTTATGTAAATGTGCCCACAATGTGTCAACTCCCTTGAACCGTATTTTTGGACTTTGGTAAAACACAAATTTCTTTATTTTAAATTAAAAGCTCAAACCTCTTTTTCACAACTGTGATTTCATTGGATTTAAAGATATAGTCATCCACATAAAATGTGCACACACTCTCCCCCCCCCCAATTTGTTTTCAGAAGTTTATTACATTATTTTTTAAAACCATCTTACACCACTTTACGGTGTGTAACATATTTGGGCTTTGAGATATGGCTATACTCGTAAAATACGCCCAACTTTACTGGTGCATACCTTGTGCTGCCTGGGGCGAAATCTAAAAATTGCAGCCCCCTCACCAACACACAAGTATTTAAAACATTAATAAAAGCAACCCCGGGATGATACACCACCGACACACCCAATGCCACTGCACACCACTAAATTATATTAACATTCTAATGAACCCAGCTTCTTTCAAGGTACTTTCTTGAATTTAAAAAAAAATAGCTCAAATTATATTTCTTGATATTTAAAGAATATGGTTACCTATTTTTAAATTAAAATCCATATAACGTTAAAGTCTGTAACATAATCAAGAAAGTTCAAAACTGTTACATAATAGGGTTGGCATATATTGATATTCATGAGGACCACCCTAAACAGAATATAACAAAATAAATACTTGAGGAATTTTCTTATAAAAATTAGATTTACTTTCAAATGAATGAGATAAGATGTTCTTTTATTGATCCGAATAAATGGAAATGTTTTTGGATTTCATCATATTTAGTCATTTTCAGCACATAAATAAATACAAATTTTAAACAAGACAACATTTCAATATTATAAAAATTTAAACACAAAATAACAAAAGTTTGTCTCTAGTGTAGAAATCAGCCTGGGTGGCCGAGCGGTCTAAACTGTCTCAAACCAAATAGCTGGTGATTTGGAGTTCAATCCCCACCAAAGCCAAAATCCCAAGCACCCCGGGTGGATGGGACTCATTAGCCTTGGATGGTAACCCATCTAAGAGAAGGCAAACTCTGAATTTAAACCAGAAGCCAGAATGATCAACAAATTGATCGTGGGCCCCTCAAATATAAGAAGAAGAAGAAGCCATCGAACAACTCTTTAAATGAAAATAAGGATTTAATTAGTGATCATTTAGATTTGGTAACCGCTGGGGAGCACGCTGGTAAAATCATATAAAAAAACATAGTTGATAGTAAAGAATATCAGTAATCTTTAATAAAATAGCTTAACTCTCACAATCGGATAAATACTTAAGATAATTTTTTAATTTAATTAATTATGATATTAAATTTATTTCCAATTTGTAATAATAATACTTACATTTACATATCAAGGATGGCATATGCCTACCTATAACTATAAGCAGATTTATTTTATCAGATTTCAATTGATGTGATTTCTGTAAAATAAATTTCTCTATCATAGTTTTTAAGAATTTCATTTTTTTTTTAGAAATGCCAAGTTTAATTACATGCATAGTGAACACAAATTTGCACACTGTTTGGTGCACTTAAGACAATTTAACTTTTCACACTAATGAACAGAGCGTAATTATGATATGGGGTAAGAATACAAGAAAAAAATATATTTATTTTCTGAGAGAAAAGACCATATAAGGTTGGTGCATATCATTTCCGCTTTCATATCATTTGTGGTTGTCATGGATTGGCTAACTAAACATGGATCGGATGACATCATAGTGAACTGAGAGAAAAGAAATTATTAAGAGTAAAAGTATAAATTTTATTTTAAACTGTATTTTTGGTTATGTTTTAATTAACCTACTTAACTTACTGGAATCGAGTTTAGAAACAACAAACATGATTTTGGAACCAACCCAAAGTGTTAGGCGATAACCAGGGGCAAGCTGCTCTGTTTTATAAAAATTTGAATGTATGCCATTGGTTTATTCTCATAACTTATCACCCTGGGTGGATGAGACTCGTTAACCTTGGTCGGCAACTCATCTAAGAGAAGGAAACTCTGAATTCAAACCCGGAGTTGGAGTCCCGTAAGGCGCAAACAATGACAATTCCTAGAACCGAACCCATCCCTGGTCGTCTTGACGTAGAGTCTTGCCACTGGATATGGTGGGCTCGGACGAGAGAGTGAGGTAGACGCCGCGCAACTCTTCTTCACTTTAAACAAAGTCATCCGCGCAAGTCATCAGTCACCAGACGACTCAATGGTCCTTGTCGATCCTCGACGGACGAACAATAAAAAAAAACAAAAACTTATATTTATACTTTTATTCATAAAGATTCCCAGTTTTGTAATAAACAAATACTAGTTATTGGGAAATTGGCATTTCTTGTTTTTATTTGTTCTATATTTTTGTATATTTGAACAGACTTGGCCTTGTAGATGATGATCCCATTGACAAGAAAGGCACTCCTATTGACACACTGTCCAACTATCTAGCCAAGAGGTTGGCCTATAGTAAGTTTTTAAATACTTTTTTTATGTCATCTGGTTCATTTGAGTTTCACTTCTACACTGAAACATGATTTCCTGTCTGGCAGTGAAAGAAAGAAAGTCAAGATTATTGCAACATATTCTGTCTTTACAGAATGCTATGACCGGGCAACATTTTTTTACAAGCTTGCTCTAAGGATTAATTTAGGAAATGGTATATTAAATACTTTTTAACAGGTGCAACATGCACAAAGAAGAACCTAGTTTTAAGAGAATGCTGACACTGGACTGATGTAGAGTTAGAATTTTGCACAGTAAGGCAAGTGTCTCAACCCTTCATCTGCATACTCTCCATTTGTTCTCTAACAAAGTCATGCTAAAATAAGCTCACAGACATTTTGTCAGTTTCATAGCCCCTATCAATTAGTCATGAAAAGTACATATGTAGATTATTTTTATGCCTAATTGTTAGATCTAGTTGTAATATAAAACATTTTAATATTTTTTATTTTATTTTAAAATTACTTAGTTTTAAAAATGAGGTTGATTTTGTTTTCTTTAATTCAGCAAGCCAATATTAAACTGAGTTGAGACTGACCTATAATAGTTTGTTTATAAAACACACTGAATTTTGATCCCCTCTTCCTTCATTTACCTTAAACTTGTCTAAGTTGTTTTTTGTTACCCAAAAGAATGAAAATATGTTTGACATTAAGGTGCACATGAACGTGACATGATACTCATGAGACATGACATTGGAATCCAATGGGGGGATGGCAAACAGGAGCATCGTTGCATCGACTTGTCATGTTACGGAGATGTGGGGGGATTTTCTGCCATGGCAAAAACTGTGGGACTTCCCACTGGTATTGCAGCCCGCATGATTCTTACAGGTTACAATTTATTTTTTCAAATATCTTATGTAATCCATGCTTCATAATTAATTTCTTTAGAAAACTATTTGTTTAAAAGGATGAAGGTTGTATATTATTGTATAGTTTATTATTTGACTCTGCAATAGAGCAAAAAGCATTTTCATCATATCTTTTAGGCTTAAAACTTCTACATGATTAGTGTATTACATAAATGAATACTTTTGTTATATTTCTAGGGGAAATCCAAACGAAGGGAGTTTGTGCCCCAACAGCAATGGAGACATACATGCCTATACTCCAGAGGCTCAAAAAGGAAGGGATCTCGGCCATTGAGAAAATTGAACTTCTGTAAAAGTGAAATTCTGAGGTGGTAGTTGCTGTGTAAGTATAGTGGAGTCTCAGTATACCTGAAACATGTTTGAATTGTCAAATATTTTTCACTCATATGTTGAATAGGCATAAAATCTCAAAGCCTGTTAGTATTTAGAAATAATCCTCACACCTTACACCCTTCCAATGGAATTCATAAATGTATGCTTTCCAAACATTGGCTGCTTCAAAATGTCACATAAGAAACTATGAAAGCAAAATAATAGAGTTTAGATAAAGCATATTCTTTAAGAACTATTAACTTTGACTTATTTTCTCTCTTAGGTGAGAGTTTGACAAGCTTGGGTGATGAAATAAACACTGTTAAAATTAATGCTGCTAAGCAAATAATTTGGGAGCCCCACACAAGGAAGGACAGGATATGAGAAAAATGAACCGACTTCATTTTTGTAATATAACTTTTTAATCTTACTTTGCAGTCACCATTATTTGTTGAATAAATGTTGGTGCAGAGCCTTAAATCTTTCACTTTACAAAGTTTCAATGAAGTGGTCATCATTTTCCAGTTTTAAAAACATAATACTCCAGACCTTCATCAACTTGCTGGTTTAAAATATATGTAATGTTCTTCACAAGCTTCTAATTCCTACAGAGGTGACCAGTGATATTAAATAATTGAAATCTTAGCTTGCTTTTCTTTAGAAATATCAGAAATGATCTGAGTGAGATCCAGATTCTCTGAGTGAGATCCAGATTCTGTGCCTTGATGCTTCAATGAATGTTTTTGACATGAATCTGCCTTACTTATCTGTTATTATTATTACATAACTAAATTGTACTAATATGATATGCATCAATTTCCTTCTAATATATTCTTCCTATGACAGTAAATTGTGATTTAATGATAGTTTATCTTATCTAACATTGATTGATATTATATACCTTAAACTGTATCAATGTTTCAATGACTCACAAATGAAGTTAACATTTTATTAACTGTCTCCACTGGTAATTGATAGTTTCCTAAAGCCAGTTGGTTATCTCATTAAACTGAAACCGCTTTATATTTCTCACTTATTTTCCAATTTTGTTACCAGTATGTCAGAAAATACTTAAAAAACTCTAGTCAATTTGTATAAACCCTTGTAGAATCTCATGTAGTTTGATTTTTTACAATTATAGCCAACTAAATATCTCTGTGCTCTAAGTTATAGCCGACTAAAATATTTTTGTGTTAAACAAGCATTTTTTTAAACAGTTATAATTGATGAAATATGTTTTTGATCTACATGTGTAGTTTATAAATGTGTTAAGAAATATTTTTCTTTTTATCTTTGTTGACTCATTTTACTGACAAGTTTTAAAATCTTGAATCTCTCTATCTTGTCCTTCCATCAGAGCTTGGAGTTCAATGGTATATGGTTGTAGCATTTGTATTTCTGATGTATGTAGTCAATATAGTCATTATACAAAGAAACTAAAGTTACCAATCTGACATGATGTTTAACTATTGAAACATGATTGGATTCTACTAAAGTGCCAAGTTATGACTCTATTCTTTACCATGCTACTTATACAATGCATCATCAGGTATGTATTTATGATTAGACAAAAGATAGAAATACACCTTACCACAAAACTAACTTTCAACTTTTAGTGATATGTCTACATCAAGTAATTACTAAAAATTAAAAATCACTTTTTAAGTTTTGTTTTAGAAAAAATATACCAATTCAGTCTTTGTTCATTTGATTTACCGTATTTCAAATCATTGATCCATAATTTATTGAGTTATCTTCAACTGTGTTCTTTGGTGTGTGATTAAAGTAGGACTTAATTAGAGACTGTTAATTAATTTTTATTCAAGAATATTATGAAGCTCAAAAGTCAGCATTTGTCGACTTATACTGTGTGTTTAAAGTTTGCAGTGCTGCAAGTTTTATTGCATGTCCATTGACTACTTTATTTTTTTCTCTCCAGAAAGTATTAGTTCACAATAAACATAATAAAACATGTGCATAATGAATGATTTGAAAACATTTCCTAATGCAATATAAAAAAAAAATCTATATTTTTAAGTGTCTATTTTTTTCTTTAAAGCTTTCAAACAAAGGAATTTTTGTATAACATGATCTTAAAGTTTGACTAAAGTTAAATTCTGTAATGCTTACTTATTTTATTTCTTAAATGGGCTGTGGGATTTATTTAAAAAAAAAAAAAAAAGCTTAATTTTGACACTTTAAAAAAATGTTCACTTGAATATTTTAACATCAAATAGTTTTAAATGCCAGTTTCTTTTTCCATGACTATTAGTATAGAACATTCAAATATCAGTATTGTTTTTGCTCAAATGATGTCTTATATTGGCGCAGAAATAAGTTTTAGTTTATATTATACTTATGGAACTAAGCATTTTTCAACAAAATATTTCAATGAGTCAATCCTTTTTTCTTAAGCAATGAAACATTGCATTGGTTTGTTATATTATAATTCCACAAAGTTTTGGGTCAGTCCAACCAAGGATTCTCAGGAGTGAAAAAGCTAATAATTAAACTGATAATGGTGGAAACATTTGTTTAAGAGTTGTTTGACCAATTTTAATCATGCATAAAATATTTTATATTTTTAAGTCTGTTCATACATCAATTTTGATGAAAAGATTGATATTTTGTGCAAATGTATAACATAATACTCTAATAAATTATCTTATATGCTTAAATGTATTAAAATAATTTACACAAAAACTTATTTGAAGTAAACCAATTCACTTTCTCTTGTATGTTATGTCAAGTTCTTTTTGTTTTCAAAATGGCAAAACCTATCCCTGAAAAATAAATGGTAAAGATTAAGTTTAGTTGCAAGTAAAGCAAATTTCATGATTGCGATAGCCAATTGGAAGCATTAAATTGCCTAAAATTTAATAAGTAAATAGAAATTATTTTAATTTAAAATATCAATTATCTCACTACAAATGCAGCTGTGAATTGGCTTGTATGCTTCTTAGAAAACTCTTCATAACACTGGCCATTGAAGCAGTACTTGCTAGTAATCATTCACCTGTAGCTCATATTCACCATTCTTAGCGTCTAATGTGCCCCTAAAGTACATGCCTCTGGAGACCAGGAAACTCAATAAACACTTAATGAAAGTGTTATCATGGCTTAAATGATAAAGAGGGTTACCATTTTTAAACAAAACATAACTTACTTTCCCCCAAAATCTTTGACAACATCGATGAGAGGGATTGATTTCCTGAGGTTGGTGTCTTTAAGAAATCTGTCAATCAGGTTGGGATGATGAGGGGCAACTTCCAACCAAATATCTCTAAATTTTAACAAGAAAATATCACCATTAATATTTTATTAAATAAGTTATTGTGCTCAGACCTTTGTAAAATAATATAACAAAATCAAACATTATTTATTGAATTTATTTCTGCTATTCCTGAATTATTGTAATCTTACCAATGTCCTTGACTATTATTATAATAGTCTACCCTCCTCTTTGAACAAAATATTAAATTTAAAATAATTACTCTCCAGGCAGAGTTCTTCAAAGTAACAGTTTAAACATAATACTTCCTTTTTATATCTGAGATGAACTGAACATTGTTATTTCAATAATCATAAAAAATGTACCCTTTATCCTGTAATAAATAATTTGACTTTGAGAGAATTTCTTTCACAAGGTCCATCCCATCATGACCACCATTTAAAGCAGTGTGGTCTTCAAAACTGGGGATAAAACAAAAAAAAGGTTGTATGATCTCCTATAACAATTAGATGTTTTTTAACCCCTATTCATCTGAAGGATATTATTAAGAGTGAATTCCCCTTTATGATTCTTTGAGCCTGTATCAATTATTTATTTTTTCTCGATAAAAAACTTATTTACTCACTGTAGAATTTCTGGTTGTAAGCTTTTTAGTTCTTCCATTGTCAGATATGGGGGATTGCTGACAATTAAACAGTAGGGTCCTGATTTAATCAACTGATCTAAAACTGAAGGAAATTTTCACAAGTGATTGCTACTTTGCAGTCAGCTAAAGTGGATAAGATTGTTACTCCCTAGTGAGAAAAGGATTTTATATTTGATAAATTAAATTTGAATAACTTCAGTAAGTATAAATTATGGCTATGTGTATTACACAAGTATGCCCATTTATTGAAAACTGTAAAGAGTTGAGTTTCATCAAAACCCAATGATCTAAACCAGATATTGGTTACAGTCCTAGATTTTTCACGTGCTTACCTTTACTGCTGCGAAAATCTCCTTCAATAATTTGAATTCTTTCATTTACTCCAACAAGTGCAGCATTTTCTGCTGTCAGGGAACAGGCAACAGGTGATATATCTACTACAACTCCAGTCAGCTAAAATTTATCGTTGGTCAAAGTTACATGACAATGAAGGCTAAATTTTTTCACATCACACACATTTTTATTCACATTCTACATTTATAACTGAATTTCATAGTTTTAATTCCATCAAATTGCTCTATGACTTATGGCTGATAGATAACCTCAGATACTTCAACCAGTCAATTTACCTTTTTAAACTTGTTGAGCATAGCCAAAGATACAGCCCCAGTGCCTGGTCCGATTTCCAAAAACATCCCACTTGTAGGACTTTTTTGACTCAGCGTTTTCATGCACAGATTTGCTAACCCCTTGAAAGAGACATCAAAACAATGACATTACAAACTCCAGACAAATTGTACATGTATTGCATAATTTATACTATACCCCAATATATTTAGGAGTTTATTTTGTCAAAATAATCTAAACTCTATGGTAGTGCCCAACAATTAGTGTAATAAATATATAGCTTTCTGAATATGACAGTATGAGTAATAGTGACATCAGTTTACAAAAGAGTAGAGAATAATGGCTAATACTTTAATAGTTTCATCCCAGTGTAAAAAAAAAACCCCAAAACCTTTGCTGTTCTCTATTTATATATCCACTGATGATTATAAACAGTAATTATTATAGTGTAAGGTGTTTAGTTAATTCTCGACAGCTGTGAGTTCAAGTTCTGCTGCTAAAATTGTTTTAAACTACATGGGGACTGATGTGAACTCGTTGGTATAAGACATTCAACAGAGTTCTAGATTAAAAGCATTAGCATTGAAAATATACTGTTTTAAGCAACTGCCTTGTTTTTTTTACCCTAGATCTACAAGTGAGTGCCACTGCCCTGAGTCTATAAACCATGGGTTCTCTCCCTTTTTGCAGGATCACACCTCTTAATGTCAAATATTTTCTGCACTCCCATTTCCATATCTCTTTTTCAAAAAATATATCCCACAACAAATAATAAAAAATGCTAATATAAATTAAATCTGATTTTCTGGGTCTTTCCGCACCACCCCTGACACTGTCTCCCTAACACCTGCTATAAATTACATTCACTTGCATGGATTTTGGCATTTTCTACAACAGGTTTAAATAGAAACCAGTTTTTAACCAAGCTCAATTAAATCTACTTAGCCCCATGTTTTTAAATTAATGTATCCCTAATATAACCCGACTGAAAGTCCAACTATCATATCCCTAATAAGGTTTTCTAAAGCAAACAGGTAAAAAATACCACCTCCACAACTTTAAAGTAGTATAATTATACATCAAGAATTTTGTATATGACATTTAACATTAGTAACTAACTTTCTTCTCTGTTCAAATTTTCCTAATGCTTTGGGTGGTCTTTGTGACGTGATATCAGTATTTCCATGTCTGGTTGAAAGTCAATTAACAATACTTAAATTGCGGTTCAGTAATCAGGAGCTTATTTCTTAGGTTTGAGCAAAGTTATACAACAACAATAAAACCATGTTCCACCAAATACGATGTTGGAAAGGCGACAAGAAGTTTCTTAACAACTTTCCACAGTGCAGGATAATGATTTGAAATTTCATCTTGTATACAAAACTCTTGGTACAAGCTCCTGAACTTTGACCCCAGCTCTATATCATTTTAAACTGAATTAAGTAACATACGTCTTCTGGTTGAGGCTTGAGCTAACGCTCTTAAGCCCCAGCTAGTACATAGGCAACAAGCTGCTGGGCTGTGCGACATTACATTGTCATGATGTAGGACTCTCCTGCCTCCCTAGTCTCCCCTCAACATCCAGCGCAGGGCACAAAATCAACAGATGCGCTAGTATCTCTGGGACCAGTGTGCTGTGCCGGCAGGTCGGGTCCCTGTTGTTGTCTAGCCTGTTGAATTATGCATTAGTGTGGCAGTGTTTGGTTCTTATTTGGGTCACTAGACTCTGATGTCAGCTTCCGATTTTAGGAAACTGCATGTTAGCTAATACATCTCTGGCCTTCGTGCTGTCTGTCAACTGTCCGTACCACTTTGTTCTAAAGTGTCTGCCAGCCAGTTTTTGACACCAAGTGTCATTTTTCATTGCCTATTTGCACTGTTACCTTGCCTCAGATTTTCTCGATCTTGCCCACATAATCCAATATGGTGTTAAGTGCTTCCTTATTCAAGAGCTAAACAGCACTCAGAAATTCACTGATTGTATGGGCTTTTCAGATTTAGCAATCAATGATGAAATTTTGTAGGCTAACCACCTGTGCTTTGCAGAGAAGTATTGCAAAACATGGTTAATAGTGTGGGTTTCTTTTGAAGTTTGTCAAAGTGATTGAATATATATTAAGTTCTTGTTTGCCAGTTAAAATGTGCTCAGGTTGCACTTTTGTTTTCTTTATTGGCACATTTTTGGCCAGCTGTTGAAGTATTAGGTGGCAGGAAGGTTACAAATATTTTTATCCCCACCCCCCTCCCCCTCTCTCCGTGGCGCTAAACCTGGCTACACAACTGCTTTTGGCATATTAGTCACTTAGGCATCTGTTAATTTCTTTAAAAGTTATCTTTTCTTCTTAAAAACTGGCTTAGTTTTAATTTATTTTTTATGTGAAGAACAAGTGAATTTCATTTCTCCATAAAATTCAAATTAAAACACAATAGCACCATGCTATATCAGTTTTTATAAATCCTTAAATAATCATTGTTTATTAGACTTATGAATTAAGCATTACAATAATGTTCATAAAAAATAATAGAAGAAATAATATGAGTTAGATTACACTGGTTTTATTTTTGTGTCCCAGGTAAATACTTTTTAAAATCTTTCGGTGACTAAAGATCCTGTGTCTGAAGGTACTTATTATTTCTCAGTGACATCTATTTACGACTCTTTTTTAATGCTGATAATCAAATAGCGCCCCCCTAAGACTAAGACTACTGAACATTTTACCACCCCCTGAGCAGTACAAGCCTACTTTGAAAACAACTGATCTAGATGAAGAAAAATTTTAGTTTTGAGACAATATATAAGGTACTGTAACACTTGTAGATCTGAAAACATTTGGATCAAGTGAAACGAATGAATAATTTTTAAAAAGTTGAACTTACCTCAGTTTCTGGTCTGGGTATCAGAACAGGGGGTCTCATTTTTAGTGTCAAGTCAAGGAAATCCCATTCTCCTATAATGTATTGTATTGGCATTCTGTATGTTGAGCAATATTGAAAATAAAAATAAAATAGAATGGATAGGTTCAATTTTCCCTTAATTTAAGAGACAAATTTCTTATCTGAACACTTAGCTAAATGAAAAAGGTCTGAAATATTTTCTTTAGTATATAGAAAACTTTCTTATCTGAACACTTAACAAGTTGATAAAATCTGAAATATTATTATTAGTATAGAGACAATTTTCTTATCTGAACACTAAGCTTGTTGAGAAAACTTGTAATATTATCATTAGTATAGATCTAATTTGTGCAAACATTTTCTGGGTCAAATAGTGTAAAACTATTCCCCATCTAATTCACCAGTGATTTAATATGTTTGAAGCAAGCTGTTTCATGTTTTTATGTGGGAGGTGCTGCAAACTCAGTCCCAGTGTCAAGAGTATCAGGCACATTTGAGGGATGTATAAATTTTGATTTATTTTTGATAGTGAATAAAATTCATGCTACGAGTTGGAAAAGACAGAAGATTGAGTAGAGAGAGAATGTGGGTATTTTTTACCCATGTTTTAAAAGAGGAAAAAATAAGCCATGAATCGTAGGTGACTGTAAAATAATTGATGTGGAACAAAATGCAATTCAGACTAGATATTGGTATTAATAGTTATTTATAGTGTGGACAAATGGTTTGATAAGTTACAAGATTTTGATTTAAATAAAACATGTTTGGAAAAAAAATAAATGATATAATCCATCTTAATTTAATTTCTTTGTCATTTAATATGACAATAATTAAATTAAAAAAAAAAAAATGCTAATCACTAAAACAGTAAATATTTTCCTTAACCCTTTTGGGACGGAGCCTTTTTGGGGATTCTGTGCCAAAAAGACGGAGAACTTTTTACGAGCTCAGCATTCACATTGCAAAAAAAAAATTATAAAAAATTAACTATATCCTTTCAATATATAAAACTGTATATGAATTTAAGTTAATTAATACAACCTTTAAGAATCAAACTGAAATCTCAACATTTATGCAAATAAGCTATCCTGATTTGCATAATTTATGCAAATAATTTATTGTTAAACTTAGAATAAACATGACATCAATTGTGTGAATTTTTTGATGGATGAAGCCCGAATAGGTCCTAACACTTGTGTTTTTGGGAAACAAGGCCCATAGAGTTAGAGCCCTTCAGACACTTCTGGCACATAGTTCTACTCCTATTCCTGCCCCAGCTATTTTTCAGTTGCTACAAACACTCACTGCAACAGGCCCCCATTCATGACGTTGGTACCTTCTCTTAAGTTAGGTGTTACTGAGAGAGTTGTCTGCATACCTAGGGTCTCTCTTACTAACATATGAGTGATATTTAGTGTAAAAACATAGCATTAAAGTACTCAAATGGGGTGCTTATTCCTTGAGGCATATTTATAGGACCTATGTTGTCTAAAAATTTAGAGGGGTCATCTCTATCCAGTTGAGGACCCCTAATACTAAACCAAGGGTTCACAACATTAGGGTTAACATCATCATTTGATAGTCTTCATTACTTTCCTGTTGGTTTTTGTCAGTGCCAGTGTCAGATTCCCTGCTAGAATATCAAAATCACTAAGGATAGTTTGATCAGTGTCACTGCCAGACATTTTGGAATTTTATGATATTACTTGCCCCACTAAGAAAGTTCCTTAGCACAACAAAAGCTAGTAAACTAACAACACAGGCTGTCATTTTGATACCGGGATGTGCAGGAATATGTAAGAAGCAATCCGATTCGCTGGTTTGAAGACTAGCCAGCCAATCTTGAGGCTTGAACTATCAGGCTGATGGATCAGACATCCGTCTTTTTCACTACTCCACCCTACTCCACCATGGGCCGATAGATCGGCCCATTTGTCTCAAGAGGGTTAATACACTATTTGAGTGTCAAAGAATTTCAGCAATTAGTTTTAGTATGTAGTAAAACAAAAATAGTTTAAAAACTATGTATAAGAACATATTTTTGACTTGTATTAAGTAAATAAGTGTTTTTGTCTGGCTAAGTTTACTTAGTCTTTTTTTCTGTTAAAGTGTGCTAGAGTATATTATACAGTGAAGCTGGCTTTAATACTTAACAACTGGGCCTAGGACAACCTATCACATAAAAAAAAATCCGGATAGTAATCAGCAATGTACATACATGTGATTGCATTTTAATAGTTACAAACTATTGTCCAACCTTACCTAGACAACCGGAGGTGACACAGCCTGTCTATCTCAGCCATTTCTGATTTATTCAGCTGGGTCTTATCACTTATGTTATGAAGCTTAAAATAAATAAAAAATAATGCAATTAACAAAGTATTACATTTTTTTTGTGGTTGTGGGTCTGTGAGTAGATCTGAATGTAGTGTGCAACTATGCACTGAAAAAGCCCAAGCTACCAATAAGTACTCACTGTTTTAGCACCCAACACGTGGGCAATGATGTACTCAGTACTTATATCTGGTTCTCCTATTTTTTGTGACTGAAATGTTTTTGTCCACTTAAGTAAAACATCTTTGATCGTGCTTGGTGGAGAAGCTACTACACGTCTGGTGGAAAACTAAAAAACAAAAAGTGTTTTACTTCCCTTCTGCTAATATTTAGCCAAATATTCTGAATCTTTGTCTTGATAAATTTTGTTGCATGCTAATAGTGTAATTTTATGATGACTAAATTACAATTTTATATTGTGATCCTAATATAACTATTTCCTGTTATTATCTATAAATGGATATATTTGCAAACTATTTAAAACTGATTTGATAAAATCCCCAAAAAGCAATAACTAATTCATTACAAATAATAAAATGAAGGTTAATTATTGGTTTATTAGTCATTTATTTAAATTTATTGTTATTTTTACTAATTCTAAATCATTGATCATGTCTCAATGACTTTCAGAAAAGAGATCAAAAGTAGTAACATTGATTTTGAGGCAAATACATGCCATTATTTTCCAAATATTTTATTGGACCCTGCTTTAGTTAATAATATAATTATTTTATTATATAGTTTATGTGCAATAATACTGATACTGATGGGTAAAACAATCATCAATGTAAATAGCGATAAATAAATTTATGGATTAATGAAATAAATGTCTGATAAATAAATTCAAAAGCAACACAAGTACAACAAATATTAAAAATCTCTTTATTTTAATAACTTAAAGCCAGAAGTGGGCATAGCCCTCAAACTCAAGCTACGCTAAACTTCTAATTCTAATAATAATAATTAATAAAGCTGCGGCTATTGGGGCCTAGGATTCAAGAGTGGGAGGTTGGGTTTATTGAAAAAAAATATTTAAAATATTTTGTTGGGTTTGTAAGACAATATTCGGAATCAAATGGAAGATAATTGAATGGATGGACTATATTATTTTATGTTTGTAAACTTACTTCTTCAGTTTAAATAAAATAAACTACCACAACTGACATCTGAAATTCAGCATTTAGTCTAATAAAGGGACATGGGTCAGAATGGCGGCTATTGCAAACGTATTATAGTAGGCCTATAGTATAGTATAGTCCATTCAGTTATCTTTCATTTAAATTTAATACCAAATTTTGTCTTACAAAACCAACAATAATATTTTAAATATTTTTTAATAAACCCAGCCTCTCACTCTCACTCTTTATGATACTTTATGATTATGATATATCTGAATAGCCAATTCGTTATAATAATAACATACTGATTTCCTTAAAAAAAAAAAATTAAGTTACTCTAAGTTAGTCAATAAAATCAAAATGCCCACCTTCTTTGAACTGTTATTGATCATCCTTTTATTTTTACAAACTGAAGGGATAATGATGAGAAAAGATTGCAAGGATTTCAAATTCAATAACTTCTTCATTTTCATCCTCAGATCCTGAAGTAAGAAATGTTTCTTTTTATTATTATTAATATTAAGTAAGTCTTACACTTTTTTTTACCTACACCAGTATCAGTCATTACATCAGTCTAATTACTCTGAAATCTTAAAAAAATATACATATTATATATGTAAATAAATGTAATATGAAATTGGATTAATCAATTAAAATAAGCGAATGGACGTACGCCTTATTGAAAACGTATTCATGTTGTTTTGTTTAATAAATTAAATTTTGTTTTATAGTTAAAAACTCACTCAAAACTTTTTTTGTATGTCCTCAAGCTAATTTCAAATTTTCATTTACTTTTACGGTACACGAGTTATTTAATTCGTATTAAAATTTAGCTGAATTTAGCTATGAAAAGATTTCTTCTATTATTTTTAAATTAATTGAAATGTGTTTTTTATTTTACATGTGTCATTTGTCATTTAGTGATCTTCATTTGCTTTTGATGTAGACTAGCTAGTTTCTTTAAAATTTAATATTTTTTTTTTTTTTTAGTTTTCGGTACTATTCCATTCATATTTTTTTATAGAATCTCGTGTAAACAATATGGTTGACAAGCTGAATATCATGTTTAAAATTATAAAATAAAAATAGACCTACTCAGCCGCAGCCTCTTACGAACACGAATACACAACTCTCTTCCCATGTTGAATTTTAGCCCATACTTCAGTTGCAGTTATTAGCAGTTAATATACTGCTGTAATAATAGAATGACTTTCAAATCTCGATTTTACTTTACACTTTGAATGACCACTATTAATAAATTAATTAAATTATTACATTTATTATATTATTATTATTAACGTATACTTATTAGGCTTATTCATTATGAAATTTATCGTTAACTGACTTAACTTAAATTCAGATGTTGCCTTCTGCTGTAGACTTATTAAATAACTTAAGTGTCTTAACTTAAACTTAAAGGAGGGGAGGGGGGTCACCTATTTTGTGATGTTGTGTCATCAAGGACACAAAGGCAAAGGTGTCTAACTGTTCACTCTTTTTATTCGTGATTTTTTTTTTTTGGGGGGGGGGGGGGGGGGGTTTAAAAGTTTGCCATTTTCACTTTATTTTTTTTTGTTATGAAGAATTATTCAGAAGGTGTAAAAGTTAGCTATTATCACCTTATATTTTATGAATGGTCCCAATAAAATTAAATATTAATGAATGAATTATGAAAGTAAAGACAGTCAATCATTTTTTCTTACCTAATAGATTCAGGCTGTATTTACTAAATATCTTTGACACTGGCTAATTAAGGCTATGGCAGTCAAATAAACTCAACTGAAATTGCTAACAAATTAGTCCATTGAACATATACTATCTGCCCTAGCCTAATAGTAATCACATATTTTTATTTGGTTGGATGCAAATGATCAGACATACATGTATTAAGTTATATAATATAATATATGCTTGATTTTAGACCTAATAATTGTTCTGATTAATAACACAATACTATTCTGATAAATACATTGGACATAAAATCCTAAAGACTTCAATTATTTATAAATCTTTGTGGAAAATGAAAAGCATAAGTGCAGCTATTCTATATTTTCTAATTTCAAGCATATCCTTTTCCTTTTATAGCTTACGTAAGGAGAATAAGTCTGTCATGTCTTGGAGTAACTTACATGCCACTGCAACAATCCAAACCTCAATAAATGAAACATCTTCTGCTGTGAATCAACAAGGAGGCAAAGAAAATAACATTCTTTTATTTATATTGTTACCAGTGACAGCTATTGCATGTGTTGGTATTGCTATAGGTGTGGTAAGTCAAAAAAGTGTTTATAGGCTGTGTTTATTATAACCTTCAATAGAAATAAAATCAAGTTTGTGGGGACTTGAAGTGCAAAATCAGCAAAAGATTGAAAAGAATGTGTAAAAATATTATTTAAATGTGCATATTACATGGACATGGACACACTAGGGGACTTACTTCTTTGAATAATATTATATAGTTTAACTATTCATAGCTAGGCTTCAGAGTAATGTATCTGCAATCTATCTACAACACAATATATTAAATTTCAAAACTTATAATTTAAAAAAAACGTAACCTTTTGTGGCAGTGAGAAGTTAAGAGGTGAGAGTAGAAGGAGTTTTGGTAAAAGCATAGTCTGTGGAGTGGTTTGTTGGGAATAAAGTAGCAATTTTGATCATAGTTTTTTCATTGTTAGCAGTAAAGAACTAAGAACAGGTCAATAACACAGAAGAGTTATAGCACTACAAAAATTGATTGTAAACATAATATCTTTTAAGTGAAGTAGAAACAGGAATTTCCCTACTCATTGATATAACTCTATATCAGAGTAAAAGAAAATGAAAACTGTTTTTGTGTACAGTTACATCTATCTAATAGGTATCGACTGGGTTAAAATTTTATGACTATTTTACTATTTATTATTTAATTTTTAGAGTTGTTTTTTTCTACTACAACAACAGTGAGTGATGGGTTACATAAGAAGGTTAAAAATTAATCAAAGGAGATTGTAAAATATAGTGAGAGTAAGTGACATCCAGAAAAATTGGCTTTTTATGGAGATAAGAAGATGTGTTGCATTGAGTCACACCTTCTACGGAATGAAGAAATAGTTAATAAGAAAACATTAATAAATACAATAATAAGATTTACAACTAATCTAGGTTTGAAGAACTCTGATATTAAATTTTGTAAAGGAAGTTATACCTAAGATAAGGCTGTTACTGTTATAAATGGGCATACATTAAAAAAAGCAATTGAACTTAAAGGGGGGTCCCATGGCCATTCTCAAGGACAAGTATAATTTTGTGCATAATGTATTTAGACAGCAATGATTTTTTCTTTCTGTTATGGATGTTGATTAAATGACAGGGACACAATAGTACAGGTAGTTAAATACAAAATCGTAATATTTTAACTAACTCTCATAGTAAATAAGAGTACTGGTTTTGTATTATAATTTAGGCTACTGAAGGATTTGCAAGCCTTTTATTGTGAAAATCCCTTTAGATGGTTCTGAACCTGATTTAGCTGTAAGAAACTATTATTCTTAATAACAATTAAAACCAATTGTCAATCCCCAGATTGTTTGGCTACTTAAAAGGAGCAGGTAAGACTACACATCCATTTTTAATCTCTTGGCGAAAGCCACTAAAACAGAAATTTATCTGATTTTTATTAATATTAAAAATAATGAAATCTAGATGTGTCATAATTTTAACGCTGACTTTTTCCTCTGTAGAATGGATAAGCTTCGACACCACTTAATGCCATTATACAGTTTTGACCCTTCTGACAGCAGCCAGGACTGGGAAACTGATCTTCTTAGCCAGGAAGTACGACTAAGAGATGTAAGTATTGACCTTGCAAGTTGTCTTTATTAAATGGAAACCTAACCTAAGCTATTTCATAAGCTAAAACAAAAACCAATAAAGATAAGTAAATAATTATATTGTCATACAGCTAGTCAAAGGATTATATAATAATGACAGTATTGCATACTTTGAATGTTTTTGGAGAAAGAGTTTTATCTTTTTTTGTGGACATATTATTCTTACAATAATCATTTATGGCATAATGCCTGCTTTCTCTAGGAAGATATATTTAAAGATGTATTAAAGGATATTAATTAACAATTTTAAGCAAAATTAAAGTGTTTTTTTAAGTATAGTTAGAGTGAATATTTAATTTTTTTTCCCCCCAGAGTCTGAGTCCTCCAACATCTCCTATCTTAAAGTTGAATACAATGCATTCAGCATTATGATTCATTGCCAACCTGAGCAATATTTAAAATTGCATTATATCAGAATTAAGGAAAAGAAACAGGGTCAAGTGCTGTTGTATGCTCTTATTGTTTGAGAAATTATTGTAGCATTTATCAGCTTTAATGCATGGAAATGGAGTTAAGGCAGATGTATCATGTGATACATGGAAATAGAGTTAAGGCAGATTTATCCTGTGATACATGGAAATGGGGTTAAGGCAGATGTATGGTATGATACATTATAAATCATTGCAACTTTTGTTTATGGAAACAAGCATATTGTCAACGCTAAAAATAACATTATAAAGAGTTTTTAAGTTATATATTTAAGTTTACAATAGTTTTGTTTAGATAATTTCTAGTTATTTATTTTAAATAATTTATTACTCAATATGCAAACTGTCTTTCGACCAAAAACAGTTGAGTATTTAATTAAATTTTAAAAGCATTTTTATAATCATCAGTTTAGCCTTTTAACTTTGCCATTTTTTAGTTTAACAATTTATTAACATTAAAAATAAAATCAGATGTCTGATATACATATAATTTCTTATCATTCAAAATTAATTTGATCATTTTTTTTAAAATATCATGCTCTTAATTTATTTTCACAAAGTCAGTTCCACTGGTCTTAAAGGTCTGCCGTATTTGCTCAATAAGATTAATTGTTGTATTTAATTTAACATTTTAAACCCCTTTGTAAATATCTTACAGCTTAACATAAAATTGTTTAAATTAAATTTCTCATTGGTTATGTTTGTTGGCAACGTAACATTGTAACACTCTAGACCTTGTTTACTCCTACAATGGCATCATCTAATTCTTATTCCTCATCTGCTACTACTGTGGCATCGTCTGCTTCTCGTGATATATCCAGAGCTGTGCACAGGGAGGGCAACATTCTACACTCATCTAAGAAACTATGTCATATTATTTTTGTTACATCATTATACATATAATTACTTGCTACTTATGATTATTATAAGTAATTTATTATTTAAATATGATTTTTTTAAAATATTTGAATTGATTTACTCATTTTGAATTTGGTAACTTCTACATTAAACATCTCCAGTGTTTTGTTCTTTTTACCCTCATATACATAAAAAATGGGCAACAAGATTCATCAGTGAAAACACTTTCACTTTTCACATGGATTTTTGAAAAAAAAACTTTTTTAACTATAAAGGGACCAAAAAAGTGCAATATGAATTTATACATATTAGAATGGAAATGAATAATTTATTTTATTTGTTTACACATTGACATAAATGAATAATTTATGTTTTTTGTTTACACATTGAAACATGTCTGAATGACTGTTAGATCAGAATGATGATACAATAACTTATAGGGAATGATTGAAAGTGCAAAGTTAGAGTTGGGGGGACTTGAACAGCCCTAAATAGGAAACTAGCAGAAACCCAGACAATAGTTTTTATTAGGGATGTTAAAAGCTGATTTTTAAAAAAAAAAAAACGATTTTCAGTTTATAAATCTGGTTTCAAAACTGATTTTGGTTTTTAATATTTTAGCATACTTTTATAAGCTCGTAAGTATAAATCTATTTTTAGTGATCACAAAGCTACTGTCTCACCAGTATGAGTTTTATATCAGTTTTGCTCCCGCACTTGTCCCAGCCTCACTAGACCCAGGGCTGCGTGTGGAAGTTGCCACACCAAACCCCAGGGCAGCATGTGGTAGTAATTTGTTTCCCAGATGACATCAGATTTGTTAATATGACCGGCTATATTTGTAAGTTAATTTTGATTTTAACAAGATTTTAATTTATATACTAACTTCTAGCTTGAACTGATCCATATAAATTATATATCAAATAAGTGCAGTAATTTATTTATGTAATTATTGAGTGTTTACTGTGATTTTGAAGTCCGTACTAATGCCAGCTTATTAAATGACAGCAGATTACACAAGAGCTAAAGCAAAGTAATCTCGGATTTCATATAAAGGTAGTCATCTGTTTTTGGAGATGACCTTCCTGGAATTCAGCTAACAGCTAGCTATTTAGTGTGCAGTATGGTTTGAGATGTGATGTCAGCAATTACAACTACTGATGAACTAAGATTATTGTGTTTAATAGAATTCTAAAAAAAAATTTTAGAATCAAGATTAAAAAAATTTCAAGTACCTGTTTGTGAAAATCAACAACTTTTTTTTAGTTTCTTAACCGTAAACCATATTTTTAACATCCTTGTGATATGCTTTAATTGTCATCCAATTTTCTGCTTTATAGAAAATGAAGCACACACCTCAATATATGTAAACACACAAAATGTAAGTGGTGCCTTAGGCATTCGTCCATGTCATTCTCATAATAACATCCACTGTCTAGGATGGTCTGTCAGTTTGCTGCAAATTACTCACAAACAAAACACACAAAATTACACAGAAATATTCAAACTGCTCACAAACACAGACTTTTTTCTTTTAATTTTAATAATTATCCAATACTGGGGGAGGTGGGGTTTGGGCTAATGGGGTTTTTAACCATGCAACTATTCACAGAAGTTCTTGATGTTAATACTTTTTCAACTGAGATTCAAAATACAAGCATTAGTAAACATAGATCGTATGACAAAGGGCTGTGGTATCGTCCTATGACTGGCATGAAAATATGGTGAGTGTAAAATTTCTTTGTAACCAGTCAGTGCAATATAAGGGGCTCTGTGCCACTCAATATTATACAAATTTGTATCCTTTGTATTTACTCTTTCTTAAATGTATGTGATTATTTGTATAATATATATACTGTGGGTGCTGGGTGGCCGAGTGGTCTAAACTGGGCAAATGGTCTGGAGTTCAAATCAAGTAAAAAAAAAAAAAACATCACCAGCACCCCGGGTGGATGGGACTCATTAACCTTGGATGGCAACTCATCTAAGAGAAGGAAACTCTGAATTCAAACCTGGAGATGGAGTACCGTAGGCGGATAACATAGGTACAATGCAACATTCCGACAACTCTTGTGACGCCACTGGTGCCAAGCTGAATAATCCATATTATGTTCCCTTGGGTTATCCAGCAGCGTTGAGAGAGGAGATTTTCTGTTGGGAACCAGCTTAAACTTCTTGAAGAATAATGCCAGACATTGTGGATTTCGTCCCGTGAATTCCACACTATCGTCACCTTGTGACAGACGGATGCCAGCAAAACAAAAAAAATATATATAAATATACTGTAAACAATTTTTGTCTTTTAAAAAATATGACATAATTCTGACAGCGTAATGGTTCAACTTGGCCCTTTGCGACCTAGCATAATGCTGCATATTTCTGCAATATTAGTAATTGTAGCTCAATGGTAAGAGTAAATCTACTTTCTCCTTAACAAAAACTGCATGCATAGATGTGTATGTAGGAACCAAAATTCTTTAAATATCATCCATTGAAGGTGAAATCCTTTAAAGAATCACATTTTATATTTTGCCATTTCATTGCCCTAAATAGTTAATCTATAAAAATAACAAACGATGTGATGTATTTTGTAATTTTATTTCTTATTGGAAATGTCTTTATGTTGCTTTTATATTGAACCCCCTTAAAAAAAACCCACCTCAATATCTATTCTTCATTCACATTGAAAATACTTATCACCCGGTACCCGATTTGTGTCTCATTCTTCTAATTAAAAAAAAAAAACAACAACAACGTTTTGTGATGCTTGAACTAAACTATGCTGAAGGTTCTTTTATATTTGTACCGTAATTTGTAGGTGCATAATCCTCAACACAATTTTTATTTTTTAATAACTTTCAACAATGACTATCAGTTTTTTTGTTGTGATTTTTACATTTATTTATCAAACTAATCAATGTTGCCTGTTAGAAGAAAATCTGCCCAGCATTTGTCTCTCACGCATTATTATGTTGCCATTTCTAACTACACCAACAATAAAGATAATGTTGTTTTCATGTAACATGGAATTATTTTTAATTTTTAAAATTATATTTTTAATTATATGGTTGCATAAGACCATGAAGCTTTTTAAGACTTCACCAGTGAGTTGTGGTTGGTTCAAGTCTTAAGTTCCAAGGACCAGAGTTTTTTCTATAAAACAGCCAATCTGACAAGCAGTATTCATCCAGCTTATACTAATAAATGGATATTCTTAAAACATATTAATGTTGAGATTGGTGAGAGTGTACAATATAATGAAACAAATTTTTAATTGTCAAAAAAACAAGGCATGAATTGCCAGAAAATATTTTTAATGTTTTGAAAGTTAGAAACTATGCATTTCTAATGATAAATTATTCAATAAATCGAAAGTGAAGATCTGTTAAATAACTGCAGAAAACTTCAGAATATAAATGTACATGTGCCATTAAAATGATCATTTTAACAAATTTGGACATATACTGTTTGTTTAACTGGTGCATTCAATTTTTTATTTAATCATTTGCTAATGCAACTAAAATTGTGATTATTAAAAAAATAATAATAGCAACTGATAATTTAATTCTCGAGGTAATGTAATGATTTGTTAGCATTAATGCCTTAAAATACTCAACATGTATAAAAATGGAGGGGATCAGCTAATCATCATAAA